TGCTGCTGCTCTTGCTGCTGCTGCTGCTCTTGCTGCTGCTGCTGCTCTTGCTGCTGCTGCTGCTTATGTTGGTGCTGCTCCTGCTGCTCCTGCTGCTCTTGCTACTACTGCTGTTGCTGCTGATGCTCCTGCTGCTCCTGCTGCTTATGGTGGTGCTGCTCCTGCTGCTGCTTTTGCTGTTGCTGCTGCTGGTGGTGCTCCTGCTGTTTATCGTGATGCTGATATTCCTACTCCTACTGCTCTCGATATTGCTGCTGCTGCTGTTGCTGCTGCTTTGTGTAGTTTCTGTATGTATCTGTCGCATAAAGGTGTTGTTTAACCGGCCAATACCTTTTACCTTGCCTAAACCCTAAACCCTAAACCCTAAACCCTAAACCCTAATTTGTGAAGGTTGTTTTGTGCAGATAATACCTTTAACTCTGCCTAGCAAAGCAAATGGATATGAAGGGATCAACGCGTACATAGACAGCGTCGGGAGGATTAAAGACATACCCGCTAATGCAAGAGCAAGCAGGATCTGCTCCACTGGTCTGCTGCTGCTGCTGCTGCTGCTGCTGCTCATGATGATGGTGATGCTGCTGCTGCTGCTGCTGCTGATGATGATGATGATAGTGATGCTGCTGCTGCTGCTGATGATGATAATAATGCTGCTGCTGCTGATGATGCTGTTGATGCAGCTATTGTTTTTTGTTTGCTGTTGCTGAATGTTGTTTGCTGTTGCTGCTGTTGCTGCTGTTGCTGCTGTTGCTGCTGTTGGTGTTGCTGCTGCTGCATTAATTGTTATAATTTGTAATGACGGTTATAATTTATTACGATAAATTTATATTTATTTTATTTTCAGTTTATTATTATTATTTATTCTTCTTATTGCTGTCATTATACTTATATATATATATATATCAAAATAAATATACATCAACAAAAAATTTAAACATAATAATAATAAAAATAATAATAAATAATAATAATAAATAAATAAATAAATACATAAGAGTAAATAATAGATAATAAATAATAAATAATAAATAATAAATAAATATAAAAAACTTGCATGCACGTTTTGCTGCAGATATCCGCGGAGACTGTTTTTTGTCGCTTGTCTTTGATGACGAAGAAATATTTAGAAGAAAAGATTTTACTTTAAAAGACTATGAACGATTAATTAAAAACCCGCCAGATGCTACCGGACGGTAATTAGTTATTTGTTTAATTTGTTTAATTTGTTTAATTTGTTTAATTTGTTTAATTTGTTTAATTTGTTTAATTTGTTTAGCTTTATTCTCTGCTTTATTTATATCTATAGTTTTTCTGGTTTTAAAGAAAATGTTTAATTTAATTTATTATTTATTTTTATGTTATTAATTTAAATTAAAGAAAATATTTATCTTTATTTTGTTTTATTTGCTTTAATTGCTGTTGTAGTAATGATACGCTTAAAATAATATATTTATTATTATTTTTATTATATCATGTTTTATTATTATATTGCATTAAAAAGAAAATATTTATTATTTGTTTTTGTTTTGTTTGTTTTATTTTAATAACGACAACCACAGAGATGCTTCCTGCTGTCAATTTGTCAAAACTGTTGCTGCTGCTGTTGCTGCTGCTGTTGCTGTTGCTGCTGCTGTTGCTGTTGCTGCTGCTGT